CTTTTTAAAATGACATGATCAAACCTAGCGATTGTGTTGAATGTCACACCATAGCCACGACATCGCCAAGTTCTGCCTCGATGGCAAGACGAGGCAAGGGGTGTGGGTTTATAACAAGGAAGTGCCTGATAGGTTTGCTTTACCCAGAAGCCTAGTTGAAATTGAAAAATAAAATTTGAAAAAGCTGCTCACCCTATCAAGATCGTTCGCAGTTTCATGTGACTGGTCTCCGCATAGCAAATAACTCATTCGAAAATAGCGTCAGTATATCACGCATTCGCCTCAGCAGCCAAAAACGCATGTCCTGTTCCTGCAATTTTCGATGAACAATGTTAAGTTTCATCGAAAACTTAAAAAAGAAGCATGTATTCTTGTTCCAATAGTTTTATGTGTCTCATATTCTCGCGCAGTGTAAACCAAAAATCGTGTTTCTAGGCGAATTTTTATAGAATTTTGGTTAGTTCTGTCATGGCTTCTGCATGCAGTTTCCAGTATTATTAGATACATTTTCACGCTCCTGCTTCTGCGCCCTTCATGCCACTTTTTGTCTTTATTCCGCCTTATCTGTCTTTGAAGTCTGCTTACTACCAATGAAAATGTTCCCTGCTTTTTTATCTTGTCTGGCACAGAGGTGTATTTTATTTTTACTAATACATATTGTTATACAAGAGGTAACTTTGGTATTTGCTAACCTGAACAAGGAACGATAGGCATCATGAGCTTGAACGTTATTATGACTCGCATTCAAGATTCATAATTGTTTGAATGTCCTAAATATGTACGCGAGAACGTGAGTCCGAGATTGTGTAGCGCAAGCGCGTTGTACGACATTTTTTGTACGGTTCTTTCAGCCTCACGGCGAATATTTACTTTTTCCGTTATTCACTGTTGTTTTTCGGTTCTGCTAGTTTAGCAGGATTTTTAGTCGAATTGTCCCCACAAGCGGTTGCGATTACAACCGTGAGAAACAAAAAATCAACAAGGGGGTCATCTATCCCTGATAGAAATTTCTTAGCGCCGTGGTGCTAATGCAGCAGACGCACAGGGTCGTCAGTACGCAGTTAAGTGATTGGTTCTCGTATATATTGCGCTGCCGTTGGCGTCACTTCCTTGGTAGCGAACAAGCGCATGCGTGTAAGTGTGTGCGAGCTACGTGCAAAGCGATTGACATTCGTTAATCGAAAAGTGGGCCGTAATTACCAGAAAAACCCGCATCGTTGGAAGTGCGTGGATCTGCGGATAGTGGCGTCATCCTGCGTGCCCTCTGACACGATAAGAAAAGGGTGAAAGGGGGCAACTGCGACAAGAAAAGCTTATTGTATTGGCTTGCGCGTTCGGTGTGTGGGTTTGCGAATGAGTTACGAAAATGTTTATGTAGCGCCATTTCAATTATTCTCAGAAATAACTACTTTCGTTTTTGAGTACGTAGGGGCCACCTTTGTTCCTTCAACGGAGTCTTTTGTATTTGTGTTTTTTGAATAGGTCTGCTTTGTGGACTTAAATTATTTGATGCAGTGGATTCAAGTTCATTCATCTAAGCCCATAAAGCAAACTCGAGCCGAAAAAAGGTTGTGGCTAAAGGCTATGCGCATAGCCTTTAGCCACTGGGCAGTACGAAAAATTTTTGTTACTATCGCGGATGGATGAAACCATGAGAGGGACACCTTCTAGTTGGCTGCGACTTGGATCTTTTTGCTTGTTCTGGCTTTAGATACTACATATTTCATTCTTCTGCAGGTTTTCGTTATTTGCCTACTACTTTCTCTTCGAGCTTAGTTACGCACAACATTATTTGATTGGCCTTTACAGCGTAGTTCTCTAAACGTCATTTCACTCTCTCACCTATACCGGTTACTAGACACCTCTGTTTTATATTATTAAAACGTTTTACTTAGAGTATCTTTTCCCATCAACGTTTATATTAGCGTAGACCAGTGCCAGGTATTTGATGAAAGGCGTAACTGGAAGGAAAGTTATTCGGCGTGGATATTTTTAGGACTGCGTTTATGGTGGTTGAC